GGATCACTTGAGGCCAGGAGTTTGAGACCAGCCTGGCCAACATGGCGAAACTCTGTCTCTACTAAAAATACAAAAATTAACTGGGTATGATGGCACACACCTGTAATCCCAGCTACTCAGGAGGCTGGGGTGGGAGAATTGCTTGAACCTGGGAGGTGGAGTTTGCAGTGAACTGAGATCGCATCACTGCATTCCAGCCTGGACAACAGAGCAAGACTCCATCTCGGAAAAAAAAAAAAAAAATAGAATCTTTTATTATTAAACAAATACCCAAGATGAATAAGGTGGGTGGTGATGCTATGATTGCAAGATTCAGCCTTCAATACCAGAGATATGAGAAACTCAGTCGGAGAAAAATAAGCCAATCTCTTATGGCTGGCATTTTCAGAGGAGAACCAAGCCAACACAAAATGGGTAATGTTCCCTCTTATCACCTTCTCTAGAGGCTCTTGAAATATGAGGGGCAAAGTCCTTCATGGGAACCAGAACTACATGCTCCTTAAATTTTAGCCATCAAAGACTTCGCTGACAGTCCCTCTCACAGATGCCTCTGTACTTTTCATTGCTGATACCCTGGTTCTTCTGACCAAATGATTCTTCAGTCTCAAACTGCCTCAGATTCTGCTCTACTATTTACTCTGTGTAAGAGTATGATGAAATCCATTCCAACTCCTTCCTCCTCTTCCTAACTCCAAACTGCAAAGGGCCCAGCCTACCAAGCTATAACCCAGCATTGAAGACTGAAGTGTTCAACTCTCATGTCCTATCCCACCAGTAGAGAAAGCCCAGCAAAATGACAAAGACACCACTCTAGGTCAGAAAGTGAAAGTTAATTACATTCCAGGTTCCTGTCACCCCCCAAAAGATGGAAACCATTTTACCTCCTCTGATGAAGCCAATCCAGGATGGCCATATCCCAGGCCTGCCCCTTTCCTCCAGCCAGTAGTAGCCTGTTGGACACAGCCTCCTTTGCTGCTAGTGTCGGTATCTTCTTTATCAACAAGTTTACGATCACTGCAAAAGAAGCAGACACTATCACTTCCTTTTTTTTTGAGACGGAGTTTCACTCTTTTTGCCGAGGCTGGAGTGCAATGGCTCGAATTCAGCTTACTACAAACTCTGCCTCCCGGGGTTCAGGTGATTCCCCTGCCTCAGCCTCCCGATTAGCTGGGATTACAGGTGCCTGCCACCACACCCGGCTAATTCTTAATTTTTTTTTTTTTTTCCAGTAGAGACAGGGTTTCACCATATTGGCCAGGCTGGTCTCAAACTCCTGACCCAGGTCAAGAGGGTAAAGCAGCAAGACTAAAGAAGTACTGAGAGAAGAGTTCTAGAGAACACCTGGATTTACCCAGAAAAGGAAGAGGAGCAGAAAAGGTGACTGGGAAGGAGAAGAGCCAGGAGAATGTGGTATGAAAGGTGCTGAGAACAAAGAAGGGTCTCTTTCTGCACCCCACATAATACTTGTCCCAGACGACTCAAGGCCAAGGTGTCCTTCCTCCTGACGGCTGACTCCTTCACCTAGTCCTAATCCACCGTATTTCAAACTGCAGAGAATGACCCAATGGAATGTCACACTAAATGGTCCCACTGTAACAACTCATAAAATGGAGACTAGACTTGAATAAAAATATCAGGCTTCACTGTACATAGTAAGAAAGTATTTTAGATGAAAACTTCTTCAGTTGTGTACACACACACACTTTATTATTGGGCCACGATACAAAAATATATCTCTTATTGTGGGTTGGATCAAATAAGCTGGAATGCCAGAGCCCCAGACCCTGTCCAGCCTCCTCAGGGGCCTTGCTCTGTCAGTCATCTCCCATTCCTCCTGCTCATGCATCCACTTGTTACCCACTTTTCCTTTTCTTTTTTTTTTTTTTTTGAGAACCGTATTCAAGTGATTCTCCTGCCTCAGCCTCCCGAGTAGCTGGGATTATAGGTACCCACCACCAAGGCTGGCTAATTTTTTTACATTTTTGGTAGAGACGGGGTTTCACCATCTTGGCCAGGCTGGTCTCGAACTGCTGACCTTGTGATTCACCCGCCTTGGCCTCCCCAAGTGCTGGGATTACAGGCATGAGCCACCACACCTGGCCCATTTTTCCTTTCCCTTTTTTTTTTTTTTTGAGACAGAGTCTTGCTCTGTCACCCAGGCTAGAGGGCAGTGGCATGATCTCGGCTCATTGCAACCTCTGCCTCCCGGGTTCAAGTGGTTCTCCTGCCCCAGCCTCCTCAGTGGCTGGGATTACAGGCACCTGCCACCGTGCTTGGCTAATTTTTGTATTTTTAGTAGAGAAGGGGTTTCACCATCTTGGCCAGGCTGGTCTTGAACTCTTGACTTTGTGATCCACCCACCTCAGCCTCCCAAAGTGCTGGGATTATAGGTGTAAGCCACCACGCCTGGCCCCCATTTTTCCTTTTCAAGGCCTTTACTGTCCCTTCTCCTCCTGGCTATCCAAAGACCAGAGACCTGAGCGCCATCAGTGACTTCTCTCTTTCCCCAGGTGATCACAAAGACTGGTGGATCTGACACTTCTCTCTAATCCACACTCCTTTTCTTTTCTTTTTTAAAATACAGGCAGGGTCTCCCTTCTCCCTATGTTGCCCAGGCTGGCCTTGAACTCCTGAGCTCAAGAGATCCTCCTTCCTCAGCCTCCCTGTGTTGGGATTATAGGCCACTCTCCTTTCTAGACTCATGACCTTCACTCAGGCAATCATGATCTCTCACTTGAATTACTATAGAATTTGCATAATGCATTAGTCTCTCTATAAACTCATCTTCCACATAATTAGTAATCTCTCCAAAATGCAAAGCTAGGTCAATAATACCCTGCTTAAAATTATTCCATGACCTTCCACTGACTTTAAGGTAAAGCCTTAGCATGGTGTTCAAGGTGTTTAAACTTCATGAACTAGCCTGCATCTTTTGGACCTGGCTTATCTACTGTCACTCAACAATATACCTGCAGTGTTCAGGACCATCAAGCTATTTGCAATTCCTCAAACATATCATAAGTTCTTGTATCCCTGGTGGATGAAATTTCCTGAAATGCCCTTCCCTTCCCCACTGATTTTTGTGTCTGCCCTATGAGATGCACCATCACCTAAGTCTTGTCTATTCTGTGTTCAGTCAAGGATAATCTATGTCTTGCTCACCTGAGTATTTCTTGCACTTAGTACCTGTAAACAGTGGGTTATCAACAAATTCTGTATAACTCTGGGCTTACAACTTGGGAGCTAGCGGACTAAAAACAAGTATAAGAAGCTAGATATCATATATCTCCATCAGCAGCCTACCATTTATTTAGCACCTATGTGTGAGGATGGAGGTTCCGTAGAGAAAAAGCCCAAGAGTGTGACATTCTTATCAGGCCCGTAAAGAGGGTACAGTATTACTGATGAAGATGGAAAAGGTTCTCGATCATGGCTACTCCAGCCCTGACTCTGGGAAGGCAAAGCTGCCAGCCAACCTTCCATGCACATTCCCCGTATAAAGACAGATAGTCAAAAGGATGGAGTGGACCTCATGTTCTAGCAGTTCAGACAGAATCTACTGATAACATCATCTCCCTGAGACAGAAAACAGCAGTACAGTTGAAGGAAGAGGTGGTTTTATCATTAGGCCTTGAGGCCTAGGCTGAATGAAGAGTTCCTGGCTTACCTGTCAGATTCCCTGGAGTATTTAATCCGTTTCCTTTCTGGAGAGTCAAAAGACTGGAGCTTTTCCCTGCGATCATTTCCTCTTTCTTTAAACTTTCCCTGTTGGTAAGCAGAACAGACCTGAGATTTCCACCTGAGGGAACTGGGGAGTGGGGAAATTTTACCCCATTAATGTTATTTCTTTTTTTTTTTTCTTGAGACGGAGTCTCACTCTTGCCCAGGCTGGAGTGCACTGGCGTGATCTCAGCTCACTGCAACCTCTGCCTCCTAGGTTCAAGTGATTCTCCTGCCTCAGCCTCCCAAGTAGCTGGGACTACAGGTGCATGCCACAATGCCCGGCTAATTTTTGTGTTTTTAGTAGAGACGGCGTTTCACTGTGTTAGCCAGCCTGGTCTCAAACTCCTGACCTCATGATCCACCCGCCTCGGCCTCCCAAAGTGCTGGGATTACAGGTGTGAGCCATCGCGCCCAGCCCTGTTATTTCTTTTAAAGTGAAGGTAGCTCACTTGGTAACTCCTGGAATCTCTCACTCCTTTACACATTCTTCTAGACAAAGCAGTGACTTCCTGACTTACAAATTTGGATAGAATAAGTTGGCATGCTTGGTTCAGCTCTTTTCCCCTTCTGAGAAGCAGGGGAAGTACACAAGCCCTCCACTACACAAGCCCTCGGGCATATATATAAAACTTAAGGAGTCCAAAGCAGCTCTTACATGGAGAGGTGGTTCTTTGCAGTAGACTACCTTAAGGAAAGGAAAAGTACTACAATCTGCTTTCCACTGTCCTATGGCCAGTTCAGTTTGTGAATTCACTATCTCTAACAGTCCTCCATAGGTGGATTCTTTTGTTTGTTCTTGAGATGGGGACTTATTCTGTGACCCAGGCTGGAGTACAGGGGTGTGATAATAGCTCACTGCAACATGGAACTCTTGGGCTCAAGCAATTCTCCCACCTCAGCCTCCTAAACTGCTGGGGTTACATGTATGTGCCACTGTGCCTGGCTCTCCACAGGTGGATTCCTTTTTGGTTTTTTTTTTTTTTTTTGAGACAAGGTCTGGCTCTATGACCCAGGTTGGAGTGCAGTGGCACAATCTCAGCTCACTGCAACCTCTGCCTCCCAGCTCATGCCATCCTCCCTCAGGCTCCCGAGTAGCTGGGACTACAGGCACACACCACTACATCTGCCTAATTTTTTCTTTTTTCTTCTTTTTTTTTTGAGATGGAGTCTCGCTCTGTCGCCCAGGCTGGAGTGCAGTGGCACGATCTTGGCTCACTGCAAGCTCCGCCTCCTGGGTTCACGCCATTCTCCTGCCTCAGCCTCCCGAGTAGCTGGCTCTTATACACATCTAGATGTGTATAAGAGACAGGGCCTACATTCACCTAATTTTTATATTTTTTGTAGAGATAGGCTTTCGCTTTGTTGCCCAGGCTGGTTTCAAACTTGTGAGCTCAAGTGATCCACCCATCTCAGCCTCCCAAAGTACTGGGATTACAGGCGTGAGCCACCGCACCCGGCCTACATTCACCTAATTTTTATATTTTTTGTAGAGATAGGCTTTCGCTTTGTTGCCCAGGCTGGTTTCAAACTTGTGAGCTCAAGTGATCCACCCATCTCAGCCTCCCAAAGTACTGGGATTACAGGCATGAGCCACTGTGCCTGACCCACAGGTGGGTGGGTTCTTAACCATCATGAGAGAAGCCAGTGAAGCCTATGACTGGGTAAGTCACCCTAACTGTGTGGTTGAGGTAGCAAGTCCATTTGACTCTGACACTAAGCTACTTCCTCCAGCTTAGCCTTTAATAGTAAAAGATGCTATTTCAGCAGCCCTATTCAACACTTGTTCATTAACCCAATTAATTTAAAAGCTGAGCAGGAAAGAGGAGTGCTATCTATCTGGAGACCCTAACACCACCTTTTAAAAAGGTATCAACTTTACTGAAGTATACATTTACAAATAATAAAAAGCACCTATTTTGATTGTACTATATAATTTGGCAAATGTATACACTATCTTTTGAAGTTGCTTTTGTTTTCCATCTTCTTATAAGGAGGGATCAGCACAGCCTATGAAGTCTATACCAGAAAGCAAAGAGAGCTGAGGCTCAAGGGAGTAACAGGTCACCAAAGTTTACCTCTCGTTCTCTCCTTTCCAGATAGGCTAGCTCCTGCTCAGACTGTTTTATCTTCCGGTGGATTTCCAGGTTTTGCTGAGAAGAGAGGCAATTCTATGAGTATAGGTCTAAGAAACAATGCTCCTAGAAATGCTTCTAGGTCTTTCCCAATAGTTACTTTTGGATTGTAGCTCTTTTGATTGACCAGATTTACTAAATGATCACTGTACCCTGCAAGTAACAATCCCTAACTGGTCTTGTCATGCAGATTAGTTATGTGGTATGGCATAAGAGGGAATATTACTTTACTTATCTCCAAGACGTGGGAAACAAGTATCTCTTTATCTCTTTATCTAAGTTGAAAATCATGGGAGAGAGGATGTGGGCACACCAGTGCAGAAAACTAAATGCCCACATACTCTGCCATACATACCATTCCCAGACATGAGTCATTCTTTAAGCCCCCAGAAAAACATGAAAAGGAGCCCCAGGGCTCCAAGAGACTGCTCTGAGAGTTGCAAATCTCTCATGCATGGCTCTACTACACAAGCCCTCAGTTGTATGTATGAAACTTAAGGAGTCCAAAGCAGCTCTTACATGAAGTGGTGGTTCTTTGTAGCAGACGACCCTAAGGAAAGGAAAAGTACTACAGTCTACTTTCCACTGTCCTATGACCAGTTCAGTTTGTGAATTCACCAGACCTGTGGCTCCTCTTTCCTGACGATTACTTTTTATCTCTTTAGTCATTTATTAGTATTTACACCAGATGGGTGAAATTTCAATATGTCACTCTGACGATTCACAATTTCGGGTCAAAGGGACTTGGGAGGTAGTGTGTTCCAGGGATTATCAACGAGGAGCTTTTCAGAGTCCTATCTTCGCAAAGCCTCCACAGAGATGGCTGGGAAAAGTAATGTACCTATTACCAAAAGTAGAGCTTTTCAGTTTTTAGCTAAGTAAAACTTTGAGCTCTGTGTTCAGAGAAAGTCTAAATCTAGTCCCATCATTTGCTCTTGCAACGTCTACTAGAGAAGGGGTGTGAAACAAATTGCTCTGAGAATGTGAGTCCATTTAGGGACTTTATTTGTCCATAATTTGGATCCTTGGTCAGTTCATATAAAAGGGAATACTGCAGGGGAATAACAATGTATGTCAGTTTAACATTCCAAGTATAGATGTTGTGCTGTGGCTCATAACAATATTCACTACATGAAGAAATGGCAGAATTTGACTCACCTATGGTGAAAACTGCACACTGTCAGAGCTGGACAGAACCAGATGAAGTTACAAGGACCAAAGAAGAAAAGGGGCTTATCTGAGGTTCAACGTTAATGACAGAGCTAAGATGAGAAACCCAGCAAGTAATGTCTTAATCCACAACCCTTTCTCTTCCTACTCATCCTCCATATTTGGCACCCTAGCCACAGACATAATGCTTGGCTTGGGCCTACACATGGAAGTTCTTTGAGGGTAGGCATAACCTTAATCCAGAGCAATTCATTCTTGAATTGGACTGTTTTAATCACAGGAACTGGGGCTGATATTCGCTGAGGAAGGATTGTACTGCTGCTGCTTCTTTTTTTTCTTTTTTGAGATAGAGTCTTGGTCTGTCACCCAGGGTGGAGTACAGTGGCATGATCTTGGTTCACTGCAAACTTTGCCTCCCAGGTTCAAGTGATTCTCCTGCCTCAGCCTCCCAAGTACTTGGGATTACAGGCATGCGCCACCACATCCAGGTAATTTTTGTATTTTTAGTAGAGACAGTTTCACCATGTTGGCCAGGCTGGTCTCAAACTCCTGATCTCAAGTGATCTATCTGCCTCGACCTCCCAAAGTGCTGGAATTACAGGTGTAAGCCACGACGCCCGGCCTATATAATCTTCTTTATTCCCTATAATCCCCATCAATAATAAGAGTCAACAGTTTTTTTTTTGTTTTTTAAGAGACAGAGTCTCACTCTGTCACCCAGGCTGGGAGGGCACTGGCACAATCTCGGCTCACTGCAACCTCTGCCTCCCGGGTTCTAGCAATTCTCCTGTCTCAGTCTCCCGAGTGGCTGGGACTATAGGCACACACTACCATGCCTGGCTAATTTTTTGTATTTTAGTACAAAGGGGGTTTCACCATGTTGCCCAGACTGGTCTTGTACTCCTGAGCTCAGGCAATACACCCGCCTCGGTCTCCCAAAGTGCTATGATTACAGGCATGAGCCACCAAGCCTGGCCAAGAGTCAACAGTTTGAAAGAGCATAGCTCCTTCTCCTAATACCTTGTGCAGGTCTGACAGCTGCTGGTGTTTGATCAGAACTTCTTTATTGGGAAACTGTCTTCTGCAGAGCAGACAAGCCAGTTTATTCCAGTCAGTGAGTTTGTCTTCTTCATTCTCCTTCTTGGTGAGCTCCTCTCGCTTCTGGGGCTGTGCTATGCGGGGCTGTGGGGGAGGGGTCTGTTCTTCCTCTTCTTCCTCCTCATAGTCACTGTCTCCTCCATATTCACCCAAGAGGCCAATCAGTGGGTTTACCACTTTAGGCTGGAAGGAGAAGGCCAGTGATCAATACCAAATGCAACCTATATTTCAGGGTCCTTTTTTTTTTGGATACTGATACGGGCATCTCATTTCTTTGTTCTCTCTCAGTTGGAATAATGAATTGGGTTCAAAATAAACTCACTAGCCATGCTGCTCATTTCCCAGATGGAAGCAACATGGCCAGAGCTTGGCTTTGCTCCTTGCTCACTGAGAATAAACAAGAGAAATTCCTTTAGAAGTGACTCTAGCAACAGAATGTGGGGAGAAAGAAGAGAAAGGAGAATAAGCATAGAAAATAGTAAAAGTTTACAAATTACAAAGAGAAAGAGATAAATACCTCCAAATTACTGTAACTCATGGAGGGAAGAAAAGATGATGTTCATCAAGACTCTAGCAAAGAGGATTTAGGAAGTAAATTAAAAGCAACTGCATTGATAGGCACTTGGGTAGACAGATCCAGCTCCTATGGTAAAGGCAAAGCATGGTTAAGATAGATGCTACAATGAGCTGAATTAATAATGTGGAGCAGGAAAACAGTACCTTATAAAAACTGTTAAATAATGATGCATAGTCATTGGTCTATGATCAATCAAAATAAATAAATAATGCATGGTCACTATTGTTATATACCTGCATTCAATCAGAATCACTGGTGATTAGATTGAGACTACTGCTTGAAGGCATCTAAAAAATGGGCACCAAGGCCGGGCGTGGTGGCTCAAGCCTGTAATCCCAGCACTATGGGAGGCCGAGACGGGCGGATCATGAGGTCAGGAGATTGAGACCATCCTGGCTAACACGGTGAAACCCCGTCTCTACTAAAAAAATATAAAAAACTAGCCCAGCGTGGTGGTGGGCACCTGTAGTCCCAGCTACTCAGGAGGCTGAGGCAGGAGAATGGCATAAACTCGGGAGGCGGAGCTTGCAGTGAGCTGAGATCCGGCCACTGTACTCCAGCCTGGGCGACAGAGCGAGACTCCGTCTCAAAAAAAAAAAGGGCACCAATATTAGCATCATTCACTCTGTCCACGCAGAAACTATAAAAAATGACCACGCATGCACTGCATATCTAAGTGACGCCAAAAGGCAGGAAAGATTGAGGCTGAAAAAACGGGTTTCCTTGGTGATTTAGAGAACTGACAAGAACAAGATGATAAAAAGGGCTAGGCATCTCGTCTGGTAAGAATGGCACAGGATAGAGAGAAACAGGGCAGATAACTGCCTCTGGTTCTCCAGTAATACCCCCATTAGCAGAAAGAAAACTTTATATCATGCTTGTACTCAAAAGAAATGGGAATCCTTATTCAGGAGACATAGTGAGGTAAAAGACCAACACCAGAGGAAGGCATCAGCCTTTGCACTTCCTTTCCCACTCAGAACCAGCCCCAGCCCCAGCCCCAGCCCTAGGTCCAGGGGATCAATGTTGGTCTTACTGGAGGGGGACTCTCTTCCTTCTTCACAGTAGGAGGCAGGGGCTTCTTAAAGACGTCTTCTGCGGGGGCCTTCCCTTCACTGGCATTTTCCTGAAACTGACCAAACCAGAGGTAACTCTCACATGATATTCACTCATAATAACTGATAAAGGTTGGGATGGGCACAGTGGCTCAAGCCTATAATCCCAGCACTCTGGGAGGCCAAGGCAGGTGGATCACAAGGTCAGGAGATCAAG